AAGAAGAAGAAGAAGAAGAAGAAGAAGAAGAAGAAGAAGAAGAAGAAGAAGAAGAAGAAGAAGAAGAAGAAGAAAGAAGAAGGAGAAGGAGAAGGAGAGAGAGGCTGAGGATGTGGAGGAGAAGGAGGAGGGGGAGGGGAAGGAGGATGAGAATGAGATGACTGGTAGGGACAAAACAAACTTAGCAAGAGAAACACATTTCCAAAAGTCCTGGACTCAGTTTCCCATAGCAGGAACCCACAGACAAGTTCCACATCCGTCATCTCCCCCAAGTGAAGGCATAGGAGAAGGAGAAGGAGCAGCAGAAGGAGAAGCAGAAGTAGGAGAAGGAGAAGGAGCAGGGGCAGGAAACAGAACATAAGCAACACATGTGGGTCAGAATTCTCTGTCAGTTTTAGACTAGCTCTAAGCAAGTTTCCCAAGCCCTCTGGGGCTCAGTTTCCTTGTTTGTAAAGAGAGGCAGCAATATCTACTGCTGGCGTTGTTCTCAGGATCCAATGTGACCATGTTTGTTGAGCTTAGGGCCTGGCACATGGTAAGTCCTCAACAAATACTAGCAAATGAACAAATAAAACCCTCAATAACATTCCCTGAGGAAGCTACAGACCTTCGTCAGGAACCAGGGACAAGAATTAGAGTGAAATAGGGTTAGAAGAGTGACTCAGTAATAGAATAACTGCCTAGCAAGTCTCTCTCTCTCTCTCTCTCTCTCTCTCTTCTTCCCTCTCTCTTTCCCTCTCCCCCCCTTACACACACATACACAGAATTAGAGACAAGAAACAAGCAGAAGTGGAGCTGAGTCTTCATGTTCTCAGCTGGTGTCCAGGAAAAGCAAGAAGCATTTCATATCCAGAAGAATACTTTTTTTTCCCTCCTGGACAAACATTTCTCACAAAGAAGAAGCCTCAGATATATTTAAAAGTCCTTCCTTCTTTGGCTAAAAATTTTTTTAAAGAAAAAAGAACACTCAAAGAAAATAACAAGCCACCCATGTAGCCCTCCAAAAAGCAGAGTGTGAATTCTCCCTTACACAGCATGGGGTTCCTTGAACCGGCCGACTTGTTGGATGTGGTACATGAGGTCGCCCCCGTTCACGTACTCCATCACAAAATACAGGCGGTCCTGAAGAAAGGGAGAGAAAGAGAGCAAACAGCAAAATCAGTAGCCTGTAGAGTCCTGGGTTCGAAACAGAATAGCTGGGATCAATAATGAAATTCATCCAGGTTCTGACACCTGTCTAATGTGTCAGGCCCAGTGTTACATAAACTGCCACACCACCTGGACAATGTGACAGAGTATGGGAGGATCACATATCACGTTTTTAATGAATAACTACAAGCTGAAATTCATTTGTATGCAGAAATGTAAAGGAGCTCATTATTTTTCATCGGTATTATTTAAGACCAGGGTTGGGAATCATTGGAAAATTAATGATATTACAGGTCATCTGGAGCTATAGAGGTATAATCTCAGTGTTGGCCCTTCTGATATTTGTGCCTTTGTGGAGGACCTTACTATCGTGAATAGAATCGGCTGTGTATGATACATAGATCTAGGGGACAAGGTCATAAAAGATCTCCCATCTTCTACCCTGCTCCTTCTAGGATCACACACTCCGAGGGAAGCCAGCCACCATGCTGTAAGGAAGCTCAAGCAGCACTGTGGAGAGGCCCATGTGGCAAAGAGCTGAAATTTCTGCCAATGGCCATCCCTAGCCACTCAAGTAAATCACCCTGGAAACCAATCCTCCATCTAGTCAACCTTCAAAACTTGACTGCTGGTAACCTAAATCTTCAAGGAGTATCAACCAGTCCCCCAAATATCTGACCCACAGAAACTGAGATAATCATATACATTGTTCCAGTGTGTGTGTGTGTGTGTGTGTGTGTGTGTGTGTGTGTGTGTGTGTGTATGTGTGTGTTTTAAAGACCCTGAGCACCACTGGTTTGTGCCTGTAATCTCAGCTACTCCAGAGGCTGGGATGTGAGGATCACAGTTCGAATCTAGCCTGGGCAGGAAAATCCATGAGACAATTATCTCCAATTAACCACCCAAAAGCCATTAAGTGGAGCTGTGGCTCAAATGGTAAAACAGTAGCCTTGAGCAGTGGGAGAAAAAAAAGCTTAGGACAAGGCTCTGGTGGAATTCAAGCTTCAGTATTGTCACAAAACAAACAAATAAACCAAAACCCACAAAAGATGACATAAATAGCAGAGAGCTATGAGTTCTATGCCATGGTCCCTGGTGTGAGGGTCTGCCTCACCTCAGGCCCAAAGACATGGGGCCAAGTGGCCATGAACTGAAATCTCTACAGCCATGAGCCCCAAAGAAACCTTCCTATTCTTTTAAGTTGTTTTCCTCAGGTGTTTTGTAACAGTGACAGCAAGCTGACCACATAATTCACCTCTCCTTGGAGACTGGAGTCTCCCAGTGTGAGCTCCCTCACCTCTTCATACTTGTTCTCCCTTGGCTCATGGCGGCAGGGTCTGCAGGAACTATTTGCAGTTTCTAAAGTCCTCCTCATGTTCTCAGCTTTAAAAAAAAAATAAACCCACTTCCTCTAACCCACCTGATCTAAATTAGGTCTGCGTGCTATATTCTTTCATGAGTCTCTGTGGGCTCGTTTCCTCTGCTCACATTATAATTTGTAATGATATGTTTAATGGAATGTCAGTTTATTCCATCTATTTATGCACTCATTAATTAAATTTTAAAAAAATATTCACAGAGCCCTGCTGGGTACCAGGTGAGAAGGTGCTAGGGATAAAGTAATGAACAAAGTCAACTTAGAAAATCCTGTCTTTACCTTTCATTTTAGCAAGAGTGATATAAAGATAAAACTAGGCAAAACAAATGGAGTATATAGGGTATTTAAAGTAATAAGTGCATGGGAAGAAACAAAGAAGTTAAGGGTTAGATGAGATGGGAGAAAACACATCCAATATATATTTTTTAAAAAAACATTCAGGATAAACCTTGCCCAGCAAGGAACTAAAGGAGGTGATGAAGGCAGTTATGTGAATACCGAGAGCAAAAGCCTGTGAAGTGGAGGAAACAGTCAGTGCAAAGGTCCTGAGGTTAGGAAACAGCTGATCTGCTTTAGGAACCAGTGAGACTGGAAAGACAGAAGGAGAACAGGTAGGAAGAGGAGATCGGAACCCTGCTAGGGACTCAGGTTTTATAAGACATCACAGGCTAAGGCAAAGGCTAGTGTTTAACTCTGCAAGAGATGGTCTAGCACCAGATATGGCTGAAAATCCCACAAAGCCAGGGACCAGATAAAATTTGTTTGCCACTATGGACACAGAACTTGCCACTGTTCCTGGCCAGAGCAAGCTATATATGTCATTAACTGAATGAATGAATTAGTGATCCCAGAGTTTGCTTTGGGGGTGGGATCCAAAGCCCCAGTCATGATTCTGAAGGCTGGAAGATGACCCCTGACCCCACAGTTTCCAGCTGGGTGGGCTTGGACTAATCTCCTTCTAGAGCTCAGCTTTGTCGCTTCTTGATGATGTAGCCAATCATCTCCAAGAGAGAGGCCTGCGTGCCCAAGTAAGACCTCACAGTGCTGCAAATTACACATGGAATGATGATGAGATTCCCAGGCAGCATCATGGATGGTGCAAGCCAGATCCTTCCTTTGCAAACTCAATTTGGATCTCCCTTTAACTGGCCATCAAGTCAACTTGGTGGGCCAGCTTTTAAAAGAGAAAAAGGGAAGAAAAGAAAATGGAATAGGAATGACCAGATCCATCACACAAAGCATCACCAAATATGATTTTGTGGAATGTGGCTCGGGTGATGTTGATGTGTTGGTATGGCTGCGAAAGTTGGTTGGGTATTAAAAGTTGCAGACAGCCCTGGGCCTGCGTGGCTCACGCCTGTAATCCTAGCTACTCAGAAGCTGAGGATCATGGTTTGAAGGCAGCCTGGGCAGGAAAGCCCATGAGACTCGTTATCTCCAGTGATTCAGCAAAAATTCAGAAGTGGAGTGGTGGCTCAAGTGACAGAGCACCAATCTTGAGTAAAAAAAAAAAAAAAAAGATCTAGCCCAGCACCGATGGCTCACACCTGTAATCCTAGCTACTCAGCAGGCTGAGATCTGAGGATCACCGTTCAAAGCCAGCCGGGACAGGAAACTCTGTGAGACTCTTATCTCCAATAAACCCTAGAAAACCGTAAGTGGTACTATGGCTCAAGCGGTAGAGCGCTCACCTCGAGCTGAAGAGCACAGGTAAAGCGCCCAGGCCCAGAGTTCAAGCCCCACGACCAACAACAACAAAAAAATCTAAGCCAGAGTCTGAGTTCAAGCCCGAGAGCTAGCACATTAATTGATTCTAATTAGTTAATTTTTTAAAAAAAATGTCCTTTACAATGCATCACACTTTCTCCTTCATATCTGTAACAGTCCAGAGTGGCTTTGTCAAGTGTGTATCAATTGTCTAATAATGATAATAACTGCACTAATGAAATAAAGCTACCCATCTTTGGGGTGCTAAACATGGAAGTGTATCAAGTGTTTCATGTTTTTTCCCATGGGGACAAGTGTCATTCTCCCATATTTTTTGGGGGGGTCCGGTTGTGGGGCCTGAACTATGGGCCTGGG